CCCCAAAGACCTGGAACGACAACCAGGCAACTTGATCACGGCTCAAAGACTCGCCTGCGATCGAGAGCGACCAACACGAGGTAGAGCGAAGAAGTTCCTCGCTATCTCAAGCCCTACGTTCCCACCTTTCCAGATATGCATCGAACGAGTCACCCAGGAGAGCGTAACCCGCCCGCCGTCGGGTACACAAGGTGAGCAAGAACACAACCAGATCACGAATCATCGGAGGACCCCTTCGTTAGTCGGTGTCCGAGTGCCAGTGGTATCGAGAAATGTGACAACAAGATTTTCACGGATTTCCGCTTCGCCACAATCCATTGCTGGCTCAAGTCCCTGCTTCTGCTGCGGAAGATCCGGACGAATTCAACGAAGAACACAGGAAAGAAGTGCCAACGAATGCTGGATCGACGGATGTACCGCTTAATACAACAAGATCCACAGATCAACGGAGTATGGAGAAGATCTCTACTGACAGACACGAGGCGGACCTGGATCAAGACCCAGATCTTGAAGAAAAGTCTCGAATTCCTCTCAAGACGCCCACCGCAGATCTCGAGGAGAACCTAGATCTGCAAGGAAATGATTGAGTCGAAGTCCAATCCGCCCACGAAGTCGGTGGCCGCGACACGATCGTCCAAGAAAAAGAAGATCAAGACCGCTCGGACGAAGCTGAAGGCACAGGATTCAGAATCGGAAGACGTGAATAAACCGAGATCGATCATCGACAAAGACATGTTCGAGCAGGCTTACTATCGGAAGATCCTGAGCGAGACTCTCCTGCAGGACCCTGTCCTCGCGATCATACAGGTCCACCAGATCGGCGATCTGACAGGCCCGGTATCCAAGCCACACCCCAGCACAGAGAGGCTGAATGCGGTGAAGTTCCTGCTAGATCTCCTCCAGGAGGCCGGACTGAATTTGATCCAGATTCCTTGTTCGAGATGGAACTGGGGGCGGTCCTGGCGGCGACCCAAGATCTCTACGACTCGCTCAAGAACTTGGTCGGCGAACACGTCCAAACACCTGATCTGAACTATTAAACCGGGTCGTCACACAACGCGTCGGCCACCTCGGAACCGGATTCATACTCTCCCCGAGCCCCACAACGTATGTCGCCAGGTTCCTCGGGCGCCAAGTATCTGAGATCACGCGTGAACAGGCCGGATCAACGCCCGGCAGGCCCGACACGGTCTCCTGAGAAGCCCGATCGGGAGGAAGAGCGCCAAATCCCAGCAGAACGAGCCACTCCGACGACCAATTCGACCGGATCTAGCAACATACTGGACGAATACTTCCAGATGGCGATGAATCGATTTCTGAAGGAACAAATCCTGGTGACGGTCCAATCACCACCCCTCGGAAGGCAGGATATCGACATGGAGTCCGTTGGCACCCCAGATCTCCTATCCTGGGAGTACGATCCTGACGATCTCGGGATTCCGAGCTCCTCCGGTCATACTTCCGGCCGAACTGCGGTCGCTTCGGTAGCGATCGGCCATGGAGGGTCATCGCTGATCCAAAGGGTCCGAACTTCGACCATCTCGGACCTGAAATATTTACCGGGAAGGATGTGGACGAAGATCGCGCCAGAGCTTGGATCGGCAATGTGAAATCGGCATTCCAACGAGATCAAGCAACAGATAAGGAAGAATGCCTCACGTTCGCGGATCCGTTGGTGGGGCCAGGCAAGAACTGGCACCGACAGCTAAGTCGGACCACCAAGACCAAATGGTCGGACTTACTCGACAGCTTCCAGACGCAATACTGCGGTCTGGGTATGTCAGTGGCATGGCAGTACTACCATGCCCGGAAAAGATCCGAGGAGACCCCGCTTGATTATCTTTATTGACTGAATGTAGCTGCTCTACGAGCTAAACTTAAGATAAAGGACGGAAACCCAAAAGCACGTCGGGAACACGTCGATCATTACATCGAAACGTTGGGCGATCCCGAATTGGCAGATCGTCTGACACTATTACGACTGGCTGACGTCGCTGGAGGAAGTTCTCCGTGCGCGGGAACGAGCCAAGAGCAGGCAACGCCGATCTGCGTTCGGATCGAAATTTCGACAGAAGGCCCCAGCCAGTGCTCCGGCTGTGTCAGCCCGTGCCATGGTACGCACGATCCAGACGCAGGATCCGAGCTCCGAGTCAGAAGGGGTCTCAGGATCGGACGGATCAGACTCGGAAGGTTGAACTGCGAAGGACCTTCCTGGCCGCGGCAGAAGAGAAGTTGATCGGTACTGGCAAAACCCGGATCCAGCACGATCCCGAACGAAAGCGCCAGAGGGAGGCCGGGACCCCAAACGTCCCTCCCCGGGAGACAAGGATCACCAAGTCTGAGATCACTTTTCTCATTGTGGGTCCAGGAAACACACGGATCTGGATTCTTCGAAGCGTCTGACATGTGAAAAGTGTGGGAAGAGTGGCCCCCCAACAGATCGCTGTCTGTATGTGTGTCGTGGATGCGGGGACGTCCATGAGGCATGAGAATACCCCATGGAGGAATGCTACAACCAGATCCGCCAATGGTATGATCCGACTCGACACGCCGGGCTGTTCCCCGAACAAGTTGAGAAGATGTTAAACTAGGACGCTCGCCGGGGTGGATTCCGGTACAAGCCGAGCGTTCTAGATATTGCATCTACGCCTATGTGAACAAGGCGACGACAGATCGAGGTAGGAAGGAGTCAGATATACGCGGTAATACATGTAATTTGCATTCGTACACCGCCGAGATTGCGAGTCTTCCCCAGATCAGCGAATTCAGCAGATCTAATACGGAAGTGACCTTAGATCTCAAAAGAGGAGAGTCCCGAGGATATGGAAACGTCATCCCCCGGGGAAATGGTTTTGACAAGCCAAGATCTCGGGCAGGATCAATCAAGAGAGAGAGCGATCCTGCTTCTAGATACTGGTGCTGAGGTATCAATCTTGGATACCACCTTTGCTCGTAAGGTGGGATGCAATATTGACACTAGTCAGGAATGTGTGGGAATCGGTGATAACGTGTATACAACGGAAGGAAGAACCAGGATCGAGATCACGTTAGCGGGATATCTGGTGTATTTTTTTCGATATCTGGATCGGAGACGTATCAGGTCAGAACGCGATCCTAGGCATGGATTTTATGGTCCCGGCCGGTGTGCGAATGGACCTCGCTGACGGATCGATGCGTCTGCCTGACGAGGTTGGAATACCGCTTAATGGTCGTAAGAGACTGTATGGCGAGAAGGTGAGATCAGTGGTCCTCGAAAGAAATCTGAGAATTCCGGTTGGTTGGTCGGAAGAAACAGCGGCGAAGATAAAATTGTCAGCCACAGAGAAACTGTGGATGACCAGAGGAAAACGATGGGTACCGACGGTAACGGAAGGCCCCGGTCGGATCCGCTACTTGGTGATCTAGAACATTGGAGAAGAGATCCTACAGCTGGACCACCGTCTGACGTTGGTATGATACTGGATCAGGACAAAGTGCCTCGATCCCCAGGGTTCGTGTCCGTCGCGTCACATTCTACTGGGAATGGCAGAATCTGGCATTGGAATCGACGGTACATACTAGATCGGAGCCTCCAGAACTCATGGAGGACCCCGCGGAGCCGGCAGTACAACGACCATCGTATCCCACACCACGATCGATACGTCGCCGGGCAGATACTGCTAATATCGACGAAAGTCGAACGTTGATATCGACCCTCGAGACTCGATCGAGGGCAAGAATGGCCGACGCAGCCCAGATCGAGGCAACGTTTCCCAACACGGACAAGAACCACCCAACTACACCATCGATAAACCCTGACGCCGATCGATACCGGAGCGGCGATGCTGGGGCGGTGGGATAAGTGAGAGCATGCCGGACCAGGCTACAGATCGGACTGGTATAAAAGATATCGAGCTGAAAACAGAAAATTGGACTAGCACTAAGGATATCGAGCCGAAGACAGAGAACCCGAACTGTCAAACCCAGATCAAACTCGAATCCGGCGAAGACTTCGTCGCAACATCCCGGATCCACCCGACCGAGGGCATCGAAATACGAGATCCGTCCGCCAAAGGAGCAGCAGCGACCCCCCCCCCACAGGATACCGAGGACGATGATGAGATATACTGGTGATCTCTCAGCTGTAGTTCTCGAGGGGAACCTAGCCGTCCTCCCCGAAATTCCGATCTCGACGACCGCGAAGGTCGGCATCGAGGTTCTGCAAGTGGGAGACTCCGGATCGGCCACACCCAAGGAGATCGAGAAGCTCCGGCAGATCATTTGGAAGAAGCAACATCTCCTGATCGGCAAAGGGAACGAGCTAACCCCGGCGGCCAGGGGCGTCGTGTGTGACATCGATGTCGGGAACGCGAAACCAAACGCGTTGCGATCCCGGAAAGTAGCCACGCGATTTCGAGAAAAAGTCACAGGCCTGATCAAGGGCCTCCTAGCAGCCGCGATCATGCGACCCTCGACATCGCCATGGGCCTCACCGATCGTGATAGTCTGCAAACGTAGCGGTGTGGATATCATGTTGTGCATCGACTACAAGCTGGTAAGCAGCCTCACGAGGCTGATGGTATATCCTATGCCCCTGATCAGCGATCTGTTAGAGGACCTCGATAAGGCGTTATGGTATTGCTCACTGGATATGGCCAGTGGTTTCTGGGTCGTGCCCATGACAGATCGGGCTCGCGAGATCTCAGCATTTATCACCCCGTTTGGATTATTCAAATGGAGTCGCATGCCGTTTGGCCTGAAAAATGTCCCGCAGATTTATCAACGCCTCGTAGACAATGCGCTGTATGAATTTCTGAAAATCTCGCGATCCGGTGACGCCGGGGCTACAACGGACGTTTTCCAGACAGGAATCGCGGATGATCCTGACCGTGGGTCAGTGTTGGGGCGGAGACCATACATTGACGACATCATGATCACAGTAGAATCGTGGGATCAAATGTGCCAAAGGGTGGAAGGTCTGTTGGAGGCTTGTGATAAGTGGAATCTATCGATCAGTGTGGCAAAGATCTTCTGGGGCATGGATAAGGTAGGATATCTGGGACACCGAGTGTCGATCGAAGGTCTAGAGGCGAACCCAAAAGATCTGAAATCCCTGACCGATCTGCCACTCCCCTGGTCACGTCGATCTATGCAGTCGTTCCTGGGTAGTTTGAACTACTACAGCCGGTTCATTGAAGTCTACGCTATCTACGTCTTGGTGCTATATGAACTTCGCGACGTGGAGTTTTCAGAACTGGAGAAACGATCGGATTTGAGGAAGGTCATGGACCAAAATGATCCGATGCACGGGATCACGGCTCACCGCAACTGCAGCTGGCGGAACTATTAGATGCGAGGTGGATCAGGGCGCATAAGGTATTCATCACCTTGAAAACCAAGATCGCGACGACCCCAATTCTCCGCCACTTCGATGAGGCGAGAACGCCGGTAGTTATTGTATATGCCAGTGATTGGGCGGTATACACTTCGTTGACGCAAGAACACGACGAATCTACCATCTGGTGGCGTTCGCCAGCCGCACCCTGAAGACGAACGAGTTGAATTACAATGTGACCGAAAAGGAGGTGTTGCTATTGCTGAGGATCTTGGATCTCTACTACAATTTACTAGTGGGACCTGAGATCCGGGTCCTAACGAGGCATTCCACGTTAGCCTGGCTGTTCCAGTCAACAGGATTAAAGGGTCGCCTAGGGCAATGGTCAGCTCTCCTGGCCCCGTGGGCTCTCGAGATCACGAAGTACACAAGAGGCGAGGACGAGATACTGGGGGAGATCGCTGCCAACATCACGCCGAGGGCGAAGATGGACGACGCTCTGACCGACATCGCTCCTCGGGAGGAACCTAAATGCCGGATCCAAACGCCGATACCCACTGTGGATCGAGAAGAGGAATTGTGGGTGGTCAGTTTTGATGGATCGGCTCGAGTGAAGCGTGGCGGGGGCGCGTTCAGCGCGATCGTGTGGAGTCTCCCCGGATGGGAGGTGGTCAAAGCTAGACCGGGCTATCTCGAGAGACTCACCGTGAACGAAGCAGAACACAACGGCCTGCTCCTGGGACTCGACATGCTAACGACCTAGATCGGAAGCGCCTAGCGATCTGCGGTGATTCCAAATTAGTGATCCGACAGAACGGGGCGAGATCGATTGCAAGGCACTCGGGCTGACGCTATTGAAGCGGAAAGCCCTCGATCGCCTGAAGAAATGGAGCGATCACGAACTAGTACATGTGAAGAGAGACTGGAATGGGAGTGCTGACAGTCTAGCGAGTGCCGCTTTGCAACGACAAGCCGGGATCGAGGTCCAAGGAGGGCCCGAATATCAAGATCTCGTCACCCTGATCCGGTTGGACGAAATCCTAATTCCCAAGACCGAGAACCCGGTGGTGCGAGTTGCAGCGGTCACCACCCGAGCTTCTCGAGTAAGATCACCCACGGGAACCACGCAAGAGGACCTGATCCGGGAGATGCGAGTCGATCGGATCAGGCAGGCTCAGGAGGGGGAAGTCTGGATCGCATGAATGAAGAAATATCTGGGTGGCTCGATCGCCGACCTCACACAAGCAGAAGCAAGATCGTACGGCAAGATCGCGGCCGACTATGAAGTGGATGGGCAGGATATACTCTTCTACTGCCCACCCACTCCGAGATCGGGGGACGGTCGCGATCGGTTACTGAGACTGGTGGTGCCCGAAACGTTGCAATCTGACGTCTTACACCACTATCACACTACGCTGGAAGGAGGACATCAGGGAGTGGGGCGTACCTACCAGCGGATCAGGGATCATTTCCACTGGAGAGGATTATATCGGAGCGTTCAGCGATATGTGGGGGAATGCGTGGACTGTGAAACGGGAAAAGGGAAACCGGTGATCCGGGGTGAATCACCAGGGAACTTGCACGCGACGTACCCGTTCCAAATCGTCGCCATGGATCATATACCGTCGCTGCCTAGATCCCACAAGGGTAACACGGATCTATTGATCTGGGTCGATCTGTTCACAGGATATGTGATCGCGAAAGCTAGCTCGTCCCGGTCGGCCCCAACGATCGCGGAATCGTAAGAAAAGTTTGTATTTCGCCGATTCGGTGCCAGCGAGATGATCCGACATGATCGAGAACCCGAGTTCATGTCTGACTGCTTCCGGGCGTTTAACAAGATCCTGGGATAACGGCAGCGAGCGACGATGGCATATCGGCCACAAGCCAACGGGACCGCTGAAAGAATGGTGCAGACCGCGGCCAGGGCGCTCAAGATGTACGTTCGCGATCCGGATCAGAAGGATTGGGATGAGTACGCCGAGTGATTTACCTTCGCGATCAACACTGCTCACGATCGGATCCGAGGAGATACCCTTCACTATGTGGTGCACGGGTGGGATCCGAGATCGACGTTGGAGGCTACATTGCCGGTCGGATGCAATAGACGGCGCGATCGAGACGCACGGC